GTTAAAACATGAAGCTATTTAAAAATGATTGCCTTTATGTAGGACAGTATGATGTTATGGTTTAATCAACATTTTATGATTCTGACCATTCCTAAAACACACCCACTAAGTCCCCCGAGTTGTCCTGGAGTCAGTGGGTGGGGCCTCGTGCTTACACAGGGAGCTGCTCCCGAGGGAGGCGCAGCTGTCATCTGCGTGGACGCAGACTGCCCGGCCTGTCTCCCACGGTGCTCGGGAGGGGCTGAAGTCCCTCAGTCCTTTAGGTTCGTAGGCGAGCGACGTAGATGACATAGGCCGGCCAGGGACTTTAAAGATTTATCATTTTTATATGTCCTGCCGAAATGACTGTGGTTCACGTTTTAGTCTCCCAAGCGGCCTCGAGCCCACTTTCCAGTCCTCTGCATAATTTCCAGTGGTGGACTTAGTCTTTTTCTTTTTTTCTTCCAGAAGATTCCTTATCAAACGATTCCTTCTGTATTTTTTCCCAGCTGCATTGGACTAAGGATCACCCCCTACTCCCATCGTCACGATTCATCCCACAAATATTTATCATGTAGCTATGATGTGTCAGATGTGATCTTGGGGTTATAGATAGAGAAGAGAACAAAACAAGAAAAAAAGGTTAAAAAGAAAAGTCTGGTCCGCTGAGGTAAGCTTTAAAAAAAAAAGCAAAAGGGGCATAGGGAAAAAGCTACTGTATACAAACATTCTTGGGGTGAGGACCGGGTAGTATGGCAGGGACCAGATAAAATGCAGGGAAGCACATGGGAGACAACTGGGGAGGAGGTGAGGAAAGGGAAAAAAAATGATGATAATAAGGAAGAAATGGGTAGCGGGGGCACCCACCGAAGGGGAGGGTTTTGTTAAATCTACACAGGGAAAGAGGGACCAGACTTCAACCCAGTGCCCCAAGGTGTGAATGCAACATGCTGGAGTGGAGTAGGGAACCAGTGGAGAGGTTTGAGGGGCTGGCCCCAGTCCCAAATACTAAGTGGATGCCCACCCCTCCCCCCAGAAGAATTTATTTCAAAGGACGGCACTGAATCTGCAGCTCTGGGAGAGGGACATATCTGATCAGAGCACAAGGGAGCAGATGAAGGGGGAGTAGGAGAGAGTGGAGCACATCCTGGCCCACCAGGCCTTGAGGACGATGATCCCAATTAGAGCAGCCAGTCCACAGAGAGGACCATATGGCCAGCCCCACTATGAGACATGACACCCCTCATTGACCCATGGCCCTGCAGGGGACAGCACCCGAGACACAGTGTGGGAATTGCGCCCAATCTGATCCGCCACACCTAGGCAAAGCACAGGGGGAGTTCAGCGGAACAGCAAGGGAATGGAGTGGCAAGGTCCCCAGGGAATGCTGAAGGTGGACTTTGGGGCCAGGGCGTGGTGCCCCAACAGACTGGACTGAAAAACACTCCTAAAGGCCAACAAATGATCCTTGAACTAACTACAAACTTTTCTTTCTTGTTGGGTTTTGTTTTGTTCTTTGTCAGTGGTATGTTGTTGTTGTTTTGTTGTATATTGTTGCTTGGTTTTGCTCTGTCTTGTTTTCGTGCATGTTATTATCTGTGCAGGTCTGTCTAAATAAGATAGGCTGGATGAACAATTGGGAGGAGAAAACAACGGGACCCAAAGTTCCAGGGGGACATGAGATAAGGGAAGGTGGGGGGAAAGGAAGTGGTGTTAA